ATGCTCTAGTTATCTCCTGCTTGGACTACTGCAATGTGCTCTATGTGGGGCTACCTTTGAAGGTGACCCGGAAACTACAACTAATCCAGAATGCGGCAGTTAGACTGGTGACTGGGAGAGGCTGCCGAGACCACATAACACTGGTCTTGAAACACTCGTATTGAAAGACCTACATTGGCTCCCAGTACGTTTCCGAGCACAATTCAAAGTGTTGATGCTGACCTTTAAATCCCTAAACGGCCTCGTCCCAGTATACCTGAAGGTGCATCTCCACCCCCATTGTTCTGCCCGGACACTGAGGTCCAGCACCAAGGGCCTTCTGAAGGTTCCCTCACTGCGAGAAGCCAAGTTACAGGGAACCAGGCAGAGGGCCTTCTCGGTAGTGGCACCCACCCAGTCGAACACCCTCCCACCAGATGTCAAAGGAAAAAACAACTACCAGACTTTTAAAAGACATCTGAAGGCTGCCCTGTTTAGGGAAGCTTTTAATATCTGAAGGACTATTGTATTTTAATATTTTGTTGGAAGCCGCCCAGAGTGGCTGAGGAAACCCAGCCAGATGGGCGGGGTATAAATAATAATTCATCATCATCATCATTATTATACTTGGAGTGTCTGTATTTGCAATCTGGGAGAGTCCAGGGAGGGGAAAGGAGCAAAGACTGAGGAGAAAGTGAGGTGCTACATGCTCCTATTTCCGTTCCACTTTTTGACCCTCTGCTTTCTGCTCAGCTGCCAGTCTGAGCCCTGAAAAGAACACACAGCTTAAAGAGGAAGTGGGAAAGTGTGTCACTCTTCTAACGTCCTCCTTCAGCTCTATAGACTTTTTAGGGGGGGAAGAGGTAAGCCCGCTCACCACTTGATGATGAATGGGACAGCCAATGGGGTTGGATCTCACAGACAGGAGCGGAAGACCTCAAGGGTGGCATGGGGTGATGCTAGCCCTGGAATCCTCAGGAAAGTGCAGCGTTTCATAGCAGACCTAAAGGGGTTCCTTAGCAGACAACGTCAGTGTGAAAGAGTTCTCTGAAGGACCAACATTTGAAAATTACTGCACTGGTACTTATGCAGGAGCTTTGTTTTGCTTTGTTTTTTTTTAAGAAAGTGAAGTTCACAAAGATGGAAGAGCAGTCAAGCTTCTAGTGTTAAGCTACTATTTTGTAATAAGCAAATTGCTAAGCGATAGAGCAGCCCGATTAACTGCCGAACAATGGAAAAGTTTCAGCAGCTCCTGAAGTGAAATGTTTGACAGTTTTCAATTTTAGCTTCATGGATTTTGTAAGAAATCTCCAAAAATATGATTTTGTAAATCACCAGTTTCATGCTTTGTTCTTTTCCTGGAAATTAGAGACTGCTGTCCAACTTCTCTTCATTTTACACTATCGGAGGAAATCTTAGAGCTGTGTTGACAAGGGGCCAATGCTGAGCTGTTGCTTAGAAACTGACTGGCTTTCTTCTGTTATTGCCTGATGTAATAGTTATATTGCCCACTTGCATCTGTTAACAAGCAATACAACCAAATCCACAGGTACTTATCAAGAAATAAATCTGGCACTCATTACCTTGCTTGAAAATTCATAAATGCCCCTTTTCACTTGGCACAGGGGTGTGTGTGTGGAGGAGTGCGTTTTGTTCAGGTGCTAGTTAATAAATTGAGAATGTATTGCCCCTGAGCATATCTCTCTTATTTACCTTAATCTATTTATTTTGCTTCAGAAAAAAACACATTATAAGAAAAATACAGTATATTATTATAATTGCTGTTTTACGGCATTGTTAGCAAGCCCAAAATGGTTGGATGTGGGCTGTGCATAGTTTGTTAATAAAACCATGATTTTACACACACACACAAATTTAAGGATTAGATTTCTTCATCTCTAAGCACAGTAGGATAAGACTGTTCAAGTAAGTAAGCCATTTTGTAGATTGCAGCAATAGCAGTCAAGTGACCAACTAAAATTACATCACCTTGAAAATCAGAACTATTTTCACTGCTTGACTTCGTGGTTATGATCCATCAAAGCCAAGAGAATAACCTAAGGATCTTAGCTCCAAGGTGCCTGAAATGGCAATCCTATACGTTTTTGCCAACCTGCCTACCTTCTTAGAAAACTGACGTTGTGCTGCTACACTAGATCAGCATTCCCCCAAGTGGTTGATACTGACCCCTGGACCTGTGCAGAGGGTGAATGAAGTCCAAGGGGTTGAAAGGGGATCCAAAATGGCCTATGGTTGGAAGAGACTTTATGAGGTATAAGTGTGAAAAGTTTAATGAGGAACGATGAGCCTCACTAATGAAGCACAATGGGCATGTACAGAGTGCACCTTCTTTGCCAGTTAAGAACTTCTGCATTTAATAAGATGATTCCAGAGGAGAAGAGTATTCCTTAATTCTTTTTTGTATTTTATCATTCCTAGTCATGATGACTATCATAAATATGGATTATATAAAGATATTTCTTGATTATATTTCATTATTTCAGGAAGTTTTTAATGTTTGAAGTTTTGCTGTGTTTTTATTAAACCACCCCAAGTGGCTGGAGCAACCCAGTTGGATGGGTGGGGTATGGTTAATTAAGAATAAGAATATTGTCCTAAGAATTTTGGTTGAGGTCAATGACAACTTTATATGCCCATCAAGGAGTCAATTCCCTCAGAAATTTGGGAAGCTCTGCATTAGTTGCTATTTAATTTTATAAGGAAAAAATGGGTGACAATTTAAACGGTTTTAAATGCAAAAATCCTGCACTTTTAAAGAGTGTGAATATTATCATTATTATTATTATTAACACCATTTCTATACTGATACTGCTGAAAGATCTCTAAACGGTATACAGAAGAATACAGACAGCTTGAACTACAACTATTACAAAAATTCACAGTTGACATACAAAACAAAATGCATATATAAACCAATAGAAATTCTTTTGCCTTTGAATACACTCTCCCAGTTCTCACCCAGAACTCCATGCATCCACCCTGGCTTTCATCCAAGGTCCAAACAAGTTCTCAGCTTACCCACAAAAGTTTCAAAAAGGGAAGGGATGCTGTTGACATCATCAGTCTTGTCTCTCATTTCTAGACCTGCTTTCTATGGGCAGGTCCATGGTGAATGGACCATCCTCAGGCTGCTGTGGCCTATTAAGCAGTCAGCTGCACTCTCCACAACCTTCCAGGTACACTAGCTTTGGTGAGTTTCCCAGGGAGTCCCAGTGATGGAAAAACGCAACCCCTCCACTCACAGTTCTTTCTCCAGCCTTGGCCATCCTTCTCCTCCAGCTGCCATATTTCATCTCATTGCATGGAGATTTATTCATGCAGCTTACCTTACCATTAAAGGGAAACACGTGCATTTACAAATCCCTGCCCTTCAAGAGGATAATACACAATATAACCCTTAATTTCTTAAATTCACCTGGGTCCCTGTTTTAAAGCATTTTCATACAGTTTGTCCTAATTACACTCATTTTTAATGACAGCTTAAAATTTTTGTGACTACCTTACCAGACACTGCTTAATTCCTCATGTGAACAATTATATGGTAATCTGGGGAGCTGGGGTGCTAAAACATATGCAAAAGTTGCATGGCAAAATTAAATGTAAGGTTTCCTTGTCTTGCACATGCAATCGAATCTTGAGCAGTGTTAGATTGGTAAGGCAGTCTCTCATTTCCTCTCCTCTTAGTTTCGTCTCAGCAATGTCTTTTGTGATTCCTCTTTGAAAACTGTTGGATTGATTCCAACCATTTGCTGAACGGTTTTTGACGTCGGTTCTTTGCACATCATGGCCTAGGCTTGTGCAAAGAAAGCCAGCTTTGGGCTTAGGAGATAGCTGGTCTTGACAACCCTACAAAGAGAGTAAATAAGACGCAGGGAGAAGAGAAGAAAGGAGATGGTGTGAAATGACCTCTTCCCTCTTGAGTTAAGTACTTTTATGTCTCATTGGCTTCAATGGGGGAGCCTGAAGTACAAGGCAACCCAGGGGTAGCCAATCAGACTACAACTCCCGCCATTCCTGACCATTGACCATGCTTGCTGGGGCTGATGGGAGTTGTAGTCCAAGAAAAATCTGGAGGGTACCAGGTTGGTTACCCTGGCTAAATGTTTCTGTTGAAATTGAAGGGACGTAAGGTAAGGTTGGGACGCGGGTGGCACTGTGGGTTAAACCACAGAGCCTAGGACTTGCTGATCAGAAGGTTGGCGGTTCAAATCCCTGCGACGGGGTGAGCTCGCGTTGCTCGGTCCCTGCTCCTGCCAACCTAGCAGTTCGAAAGCATGGCAAAGCGCAAGTAGTTAAATAGGTAGGTATCGCTCCGGCGGGAAGGTAAATGGTGTTTCCATGCGCTGCTCTGGTTCACCAGAAGCGGCTTAGTCATGCTGGCCACATGACCCAGAAGCTGTACGCCGGCTCCCTCGGCCAATAAAGCGAGATGAGCGCCGCAACCCCGGAGTTGGTCACGACTGGATCTAATGGTCAGGGGTCCCTTTACCTTTACCTTTAAGGTAAGGTTACCAGACATCCCCGTCTCCCAGGGACAGTCCCCAGATTTACAAATCAGCCCCCATACACAATCTATTGAAGTTGAAAAGTGTCCCTGGATTTATTGAAAAAAATCTGGTAACCTTAACCTAAGGGCAAAACTAGATACGTGCGACATGGGATTCCACTTGTATTTTCCTCAGGTTTTTTTTTTAACCCTCCCATAAAAGCTACTATACTGTAGGCAGCAGAAGAGTAGCAGTGAGTGAAGGGGGGTGTTGATTTACTTCCCCCCCATCTGCTATTTGTCTTCTAAAAATTGCTTCCCAGTTGTTTTCCTCTCTGCAGAAGAAAAGGTTAGAGATTGCCGTAACATTTCCCTTGCAGAAGACAAAGCGGTTGGGATAGGCACATGATAAAGCCCTAGTTTAGTGGATCAGGCCAATGGCTCATTGAGTTATAGAATCATAGAATTGTAGAGTTGGAAGGGAGCCTGAGGGTCATCTGGTCCAACGTGCAGGTGGCTCATATGGGGATCGAACCTCTGACCTTGGTGTTATCAGCTCCATGTTCTAACCAACTGAGCTAACAGATACTCCTGAACATTCTGTAGAGTCTTAACATTCTATTCTCATAGTGGCCAACCAAATGCTTATGGAAAGCCCACAAGGAATACCTGAGCACAACAGCACTCTCCTGACTTCTGATTCCAAGCAACTGGAATTCAGAGGCATGCTGTCTCAGACAATGGAGGCAGCTACCAGCCATGGATAGGGATCTTCCATGGATTTGTCGAATCCTCTTTTAAAGCCATCCAAGTTGCTGGGCATCACTACCTAATGATACCTAGGTCAGTGATGGCCCTTTTATAACAGCCTTCTGATGGCCTGGGGGGAAAGGGGGAAACGGTTGTGTGTGCATAATCTGTGACAGGTAGTTTATGAAAGATATTAAAACACAGCAAAACTACTTGTTGCATTGTGTGGCTTGCTGTTGTGTCAGAAGACTTAAAATATTTATCACTACACATGTGTGAAATAATCTTCAAAGATTATACAGACTTCTTTCTTCACTAGTTGACCCGCTGTAGTGAAAAACACCAAATATATCTTCTGCATGTATCCTTGGACTGCAGCCATACTAGTTTACATCTTAAATACAGACCTGGTTTTCAATAATGGGGTGCTGAGGTGTGGGTTGGACCAGATTCCGCAGGGAAGAATATTTGGAAGTTTGAAAGTTTTATTAGTAATTTGTACATGCTCTCTAATTACTGGTTATTCAAAATTACAGTGAGGAAAGCATCCTGCCAATTTAGAACTCAATTCCAACCCCCCCCCTCCCCAGAGCTCAAAAGTGTTGCGCCTATTTGTTATACAGATGGCATTTTGTGAGCAGCCTCCAGTTAATGTTGTTATTGTTGTTTTGTTGTAGGGAGAAAATGAGGAAACTGGCCACCAGAGCAAGGTTTCAAGTTTTCTCCATTGCTATAAAATCAAAGCCCAGGAGAATCTTTAGTCTCCTTTTCAAAAGTCCTTGGAAACAAAAGTTTAGAGACTGGTTAGTAATAGACAAATCATTTGCAAAAGCCTTCATTGTGCTTTCATGAAAGCACTACAGGAAAATCTACTTTAAAGATGGAAGAGGAAATGCAACACTACAAGAGCTAAGCTGAGCTAATTATTTTTTAAAGAAATAGATGGAGGTCATATAAAACTGTGAATACATCAGAGACCTTTTCCCTCCATGCGAATTGTCAAATTTCTTGTTGCAATAGGCAGCCAAGCATGTACTTGCTTTGTAACTTTCTTCCTGTATGAATAGAGTTTTAAGTGTATTTGAGTAATGTGCCATAAAAAACAACAACACATTTTTCCTCCTGAATGCCTTCAAAGTTTTTAACTCGAATAGCGAGAGATAGCCAAACATGGTGGATTTTCAGAGCATTTTTTTCAGACACGTGGAATTGGCGTGTGTTTCTTCTTATGCACAGGTTCTTCTAATCCAGGGTTGGCCCTAGGATGAGGTGCCATCTCAGGCAGCAGAAGCCCATGAGTGGCATGCAGTGGCAAGAATTCTGCGTGCCTCATCCTTCCCTGCAAAAAAACTCCAAAGCTTGCCAGCAGCCCTTTCTTAATAGTGGAGTCACTCCATCCCCTTGGTCATTGGGATGCAGTGGGGGATCATCTCATGTCACCAGCATTGGAATGAGAGTCACTTGCCAGTCTGGTGAGCATCGGTCCATGGAAGGGATGGAGCTGCCATTTACTCCTCCAACCTTGTGCAGCAAACTGGCTTGGGCTGTGTCAACCCAATAGATTCTGTGCTGGAGTTTGAAGGCTGAGTGCGACAAAAAGTGAAATTGGACATAAAGCAGCCAGCTCCAACATGGTGCAATGACCACGGCTGAAACTGGTTTACATCAGAGTGGGCAATGCAAGACCTTATTAGCCAACTAAGGTCCTCTGAGAAGGAGTTTATCAGCTCTTCTCACTTCTCTTTCTAAACACAGCTGCTTCCGTGAATGATGTGGCAGGCACAACCTACAACAGGCATAGGCGGACTTGGCCCTCCAGATGTTTTGGGACTACAATTTCCATCATCCCTGACCACTGGTCCTGTTAGCTAGGGATGATGGGAGTTGTAGTTCCAAAACATCTAGAGGGCCGAATTTGCCTATGCCTGACCTACAAGATGGTCTGAAAGCTATAGCAGTAGCATTTAATTGCTTGAACAATTAAGAGATTCCAGAACGGGGTGGTTTCCAACAACTGCATTCAGAATGTCTCCACCTGTGGAGGCAGCTCATAGCCATCATGGCTAGTAGCCATCAACAGACCTCTCCTCTGAGAAAATGGATACAAGCATTTAATAGTGATTTAGATAAGATACACTCAAGTTTCTTGAGACGTATCCTGGGGCTCCCAAGTTCCATCAAGTATGAAATGATGTGTGCAGAACTAGGTATACCCACAAATGAATATTGGGTGTGGGCTAGCACTATAAAATACTGGTTGCGTTGCCATTTCCATTGCCAACCTTTGAGTCTGCTTTCTGACTTACTTAAGGACTCTTATAAATCCAGATGTTTCCAACTCTTACATAGCAAAATCAGATCTATTGGTATTGACTTGGAACTCTGGTATAATCCAAGTGAGCAATATATTTATTGTAATATTCAAATCAGATTAAGGGACATTGAAAAATAAAGCATTGAGTCAGGTGTAAATAAAATTTGCTCCCCCAAGTTTTATGGTTTAAATACAACAGATAACAGGTCACTTATATGTCAGAATTAATAATTTCAGTCCAATGCAAGGCCTTTATGTTAGCACGACTGAATGTTTTCCCCTCAGCTTTTGTCAAGGGAAGATATTTAAACATCCCCAGAAACGATAGACATTGCAGATGTTTTCGGAATGTGCCGGACACAGTAGAACATATTATTTTCTACTGTCCATTGTACAACCAGCTACGCAAACACGTGCTATCCCCTTTTCTGGGTAGTCTACCATCACGGCACAATGAAAATATCAGATTCTATCTGTCTGACATTAACCCAGAAGTAACTGCAAGGGTGGCTGAGTTTTTATCAATAGTATCTCTTAAGAGTGGTGAATGGCACTATTTAGCGGGAAGAAACTCCAATGAAAATTCTCATTATTACATATTTTAACATGGCTGTTTCTTTGCATATATTTTAAATTTTTATATATGGATGTTTTATGATGGCCTATATTTGTAATGTCTAATAAAGGTTTGGCGAAGTAAAATAGTATATTTAGGAGCATTTCCTGGAGAGAGCACGAATTTGTGGCGCTTTCCAAACTGAATCAGAAGGCAGGGGGTGGGGGAGAGTGTATCTCCCGTGCTTCCTGTCATTTATTTCCTTCTGACGGTCATCCAGTTGAAAAGGAGCCTGGGGACATGTTCCATGCCTTTAGCAAGCCAGCTGACAGTGAATTCCTTCCCCTTCTTACAGGTGTTTGGCTTTGCTGCTTCTTCTTCTTCTTCTTCTTCTTCTTCTTCTTCTTCTTCTTCTTCTTCTTTGCCTGGGGTATGTGGAGGCTGACACAAAAGGCAGGAGTAAACATCCTTGTGAGAGGGAGTTGAATTCAAAGGAATGTGACCTCATATTCTGAACTACCCCATGTCAAATTTTGTCCCCATCTTACCATGCGACATCAGGCATTCTTCCTCTGCTGTAGATCGCCTGCTTCTTTAAGCTTGTCTGAAGAGGATGCATTTCCAACTTTGAAGGATGAAGTTCCACTTCCCAGAGCTTTCATATACAAATATATACAGGAACTTGGAATGAGCATTCCATAAATATGCAAATTGTCTGTCAGATTGGACAGGCAGCATACATTATACATTATAATCTGTGTTGACAGCCTGCAGCAAGGAATTCTTAGCTCAGACATTATATATATATATGTAATATAGTTGATCACTTTCTTATAAAACCAGGAATATTTCAGATAGACATAACTTTGATCTATCTTACCCAACCACTCCTGTTTGCCACAAGATGCGTTATTGGCAAACAGCTTTTGATAGAGATCCATGTTCCCTTCTGAGAAAGAGTTAGGTGCTATAGCAGGTGACAAACTAGATACAAGTCAGCCATGGGGTGCCACAGCACACAAATCCAATTCTCCCTGATGCTATCTCAACAATGCTGTTTCTGAAATCTGGGGCACTGCGGTACTCCACATTCATAAGACCTCAGCTGGAGTCTTACATTCAGTTCTTTGCTCCGGAGTTCAAGGCTAATAATGCCAAGCTGGAATGGATTTAGAGGAAAATGATAAACACAAGGGTCTAGAAGACATGTGTATAATATATAAAAAGGTATGCATGGAATTCCTTTACGTGGCTAACAAGAGATCTATACATTTTCCTAATATAGGAAATAAGCAACCTTATAATAGGTAATATCCAACATTAGTCATATTTAAAGCAGACTCACTGAAATCAGTGGATGAGTAACTGAAGTTCAGTGATGTCAGTGGTGCTATTCTGAGTATGACTTGATTAGATATCACCCAATGTGCCTAAGATTATCTACTATTAAAGTCTGGGCAAGGAAGAGAATGCCGTTCTTGGTTTCACAACCGCTGATGGAATGGTACATTGTAGGTATAGGGAACCTTTGTATCAGCTACAGCTCCTGTGGTCTGGCTGAGATGTAGCATCATGGATGCGCTTCCTTATTTTTTCACAAGCAAAGGAAAGATCAAGACAGTAACCTTTTTCATTAAAGGACTAGGAGAAAATGGTTTCTACAGTGACACTATTAATTCATTAAACTTACAATTTGTGTTGGGCATCAACGTCTGACACCCCACTCCATCCCAAGGTTAGAAAGAGGTGGAATATTATTGGACACAGATTATTTGATCAATCATATTTTACAGTTTAATCTTCCATTAGATCCTAGGATTCATTGACATATTTTTAAAGGTGTTGTTGCCAAAACAGAGAAACCCAGGGATCACTGAAAGATGGTTGCTCACCAGATATTGCTAAACAAATGAGATGCCAGAAATTAGGGGTGAAGGCATTGAGAAATCAATAGGGATGGAAA